AATTTGGTTGAAGAACGCCCTATCTCAGCTGCCGATTCAAAAACGCCCTATCTCAGCACATTTGTAATGTATTTTCAGCTGCGATAGGGCGTTTTTGTACCGAATTCTGAGATAGGGTGCTTTTCAATAACATTCCGAAATAGGGCGTTCTTGAAAATTTTCTTAGATAGGGCGTTTTCGAACTGGTTGCCGAGATAGGTCGATCTTCCACTCAGCCATCGAATTTAAGTCGACTTTGAAATGTCTGTACTTGAATATTGGTGGTTGTTGTGTTTATTGTAAAAACACGTTTTATGTTTCTTCTCTTTTTTTTCTTGATTACAGCAGAACTTATTGGGCGAATTTCTTTATTCATTCTGAACGTTTGGAATAAACTTTTTTGTTTACTTATTCTTTAGAACGTTCCTGATGATGGCTGCATTTCTTTATTCATTCTGAACGTTTGGAATAAACTTTTTTGTTTACTTATTCTTTAGAACGTTCCTGATGATATGTTAACGTATATTTCAAACGCATTCTGTTTATTCCGGCTGTGAAATGGGGTTATCCGGAATGTATAAAGAAACGCATCCGATATGTTAACGTATATTTCAAAAGCATTCTGTTTATTCCGGCTGTGAAATGGGATTATCCGGAATGTATAAAGAAACGCAGCCATTATTACACGTGTGTGGGTGCGTTCACTTCAATAGTATTTGCACATGAGTGCGTTTACCAAAATAGCAATTTCTATAGGAGCATGTTCAAAGTATATAACAGTGCGTATTCACGCACAACGTATATAACAGTTTTCCCCTCTCAATTTGAATGGCCCTTTTATGGTATAACGATACTTTGTACATGGTGCTTAAATATACATTTTTACAGGAAGCTGAATCTCTACTCTTTTACATAGTTCGATGTTCAAAATCAAATTAATTTTACATGTTTGCGTACATACTTATTAGAACATTATTATTCCTCTATGTACATATTTTTTTTTTACTATTATTATTTCAATTTGGGACATTTTGCGCGGCATTGTCTTTGTGGTCTATGGTTCGGAATCAGAGCAAGTCCAGTAACGATTGGTGTTACGTTTGTTATATTTTGTTCTTCGTCTCGGGCCGGACTTGTGGTGAGCTGTTGTGGTGTTTGTGGAACTTCTTGGTCTGCGTTTATTTGTTGTGGTGTTTGAGTATGCGTGTGTGTTGCGGGTCCAGGGTAGCTGTAGTCGTACTTCATTTGGTCTTCCCAAGATGGTTTAATAGAGCCAATTTTATGAATCTGATTGATATGTCGCTTCCAAATGCGACCGTCGTCTAATTTAACGTTATAATGCAACTTCCCTAACACTTCGATGATAATACCAAACTGGTATTTTGCTGTGCTTGTATAATCTCGAACTGACACTCGGTCATTTACTTGTAGTATTCGAAGCTTTGAATTCATTTCGCATTTCGGATTTTCTGGTAAAAGCGCTGTTGGTACCATTATGTCTAAACGAGAACGAATTTAGCGATTGAACATTAATGACGCTGGTGATTTACTTGTTGTTGCGTGTGGAGTTCGACGATAATTTAGTAGAATGTTGCATACTACTTTATCGATGTCAGAACGACCGCAATTTACTGTCTTCAACTTGTTTTTTAATGTTTGAACATTTCGTTCCACTTGCCCGTTCGTGGAGGGATGATACGGTGCACTTCGTTTGTGTATTATACCATTTTTTTCCATGAACAGACGAAATTCTTCGAATGTAAATTGCGATCCGTTATCGCTTATTAAAACTTCGGGAATTCCAAATCTTGAAAATATTTCGCGGCATTTTTCAATAGTTATGGTCGTAGTAATGTTTGGTATGGTATAAAATTCTGGGCACTTAGTATACGCGTCAATTAGGAGAAAGAAGTATTTCCCCATGACAGGTCCAGCAAAGTCTACATGTACACGTTGATACGGAAATTTGGCCGCCTCCCACACATGTGAAGTAATTTTCACTGGGTTTGCTCGAGTACGTTGACACTGCGAACAATTTCTTGCGATGCCTTCAATGTCTGCGTCTATTTTCGGCCACCAGCAGCAGCTTCGTGCTAATGCTTTCATATGAGTGATGCTGAAATGTGCTACGTGTAGTTCATCTAGAACTTGGCTTCGTAACTTTCCGGGTACGTATACGCGTAAACCTCGCCACAAACAGTGGTGTTGTATTGTAAACTCTGTTCGATCTATATTGAAGCGTTGTTCCGGCTTTACGGTATAGCCTTTCAGCAATCCATTCTTTAATTCTTGAATTGTCCTGTCCTTCATTGTCGCTTCTTGTAGTTTTTCTACCGATAATGATAATGTTTCCTGGTCAAAGCAACATCGCAAAAAATATAGAAAAAGGTTTTTTCTTAACAGCGGTCGTCCCTCGGCAGGCAATGGCAAACCTCCGAGTGTATTTCTGCCATGAAAAACAGCTTCTCATAAAAATACAATCGCCGTTCAGAGTCGGCGTAAAACTGTAGGTCCCTCCGCTCTGTGTGACAACATCAAGGCGCACGCCACAAATCGGAGGAGAAGCTCGGCCAAGCACTAACATATGTGTAAGCGCCAATCTATTATTATTATTAAAGGTAATGTTTCGATCGCATTCATCTCGATTACTTCTTTTTTGTCGTTAATTTCCGCTAACGGTAGTCGAGAAAGTGCATTCGGATGCCAAAGATAATCGCGTAAGCCTCACGATCGATCTGCGTGTACCGTCGTTGTACCGGTGATAGAGTTTGCGATGCGACTGTATTGGCTTCTCGTTTCCAGCGGGGTAAATTTGGCTTAATACAGCCCCAACACCTACTGGGTTTGCGTCCGTAACAAGCACTATTGGTAGTTTTGGATCGTAGTGCGCGAGGGGCATCTTTGTTTGTATTTGCTTTTTCACTTCGTTAAAAGCCCTCTTGCACTCGCTGCTCCAAATAAATCTCACATCATCTTTGAGTAGATTGTTCAGCGGGTATAAAGTTGTACTCAAGTTTGCCAGGAATCGGCCGTAATAGTTGACGAATTCAACGAATGCACGGACTTGCTCTTTATTAGCTGGATCTGGCATTTGTGTAATTGCGTCTATTTTCCCTTGTACTTTTGTGTATACCTAAACGGTCGATTTTGTATCCGCAATATTCAACTTCGTTTCCCATAAATACGCATTTATCAAAATTTACACGCATATTGTATTTGTTGAGGCGAGACAAAACGAGTTCCAGGCGCTGTAAGTGTATATCGTCGTTTGGTGCAGTGATTTTTATGTCATCCAATAATACCGACACCCCGTCTATATCCTTCAGAATTTGTTCGATTTCTCGCTGCCATTTCACTGGTCCTGAAGTAATGTCATACATTAGCCTTGTCGGTTGATATAGCCCGCGATGTGTACTGAGCGTTAAAATTTCCCGATCATCCGGGTTAACTTCTAATTGTAAATAGGCTTTGGTGTGGTCAATCTTTGAAAACTGTTGTCCGCCAGCCATGGAAGCAAAAAGCTTTTCAATCGTTGGAAGTGGATGCTCCTCAACAACTATGCACGGATTCACTCTAATTTTGTAATCGCCGCACAATCTCACTTCGTTTCCTTGCTTCTTAACGGGTACGATTGGTGTAGCCCATTTGGCTGAATCAATTTTCTTTATGATACCATTTCTCTCCAAATCCTCGAGCTCCTTTTCCACCGCGTCACGTAATGCAAACGGTAGCTTGCTTGCTTTAATAAAGATCGGTTGCACATTCGCCTGTAGACGGATACGTGCCTGTACGTTTTCAATTTACCCATTGATTTTTCAAATACTTTGGAGTATTTACGTTTCAAATAATCGATCCTCGCCGATACTTGATGCTTATGGAGTGATGAAACCGCTTGCGCATTGTAGTCCGCGTTGAAAATCTGGTTCCAATCCAGATTCAACTTACGTAACCATTCCCGTCCCAGAAGTGGCTTTCTATTTGACTCCACTACACATATCTTCATATCTGGACTTACCGTAGTGCTCATCTTTACGCAAGCATTGAAATACCCAAACACGTTAATTTCCGAACCACAATAGCTGACCAGTTTCATGTCCGCCGGGAACAATTGCTGTGTACGAAAATATTTGTTCTTATCTGTTTTGCTGATAATCGTTACTGGAGAACCGCTGTCGATTTCGAAACCTAGGAGGATATTGTTTACTTTCAGTTAATGCAAATTTTTTTGGTTCTTATTGCGATTAATATTATTGCAGTTAAAATTATCTGTATTTATGTTGAACAATTCCTCAACCGTATTAGTGTGATCTTCACAGTCAATGTAGTTTGTCTTTTTTCCTTTCTTCGCTTTAAAACAGACCGATGATAGATGACCCTTCGCGTTGCAGAACGAACACGTCGAATTTTGGTGTGGGCATTTGTTAGCGCGATGTTCAGTTTTGCCACATCTGAAACCGCTCCTTTTTATCTCGCCAACTTTAGTCATTGCTTTTGGATTTGATGAATTCATGGTCATTATCATTTTGCCTTTCTTATTATTTTGCTGAATGTAATTTATTGGCGATTTGACGTCTTTTTGCTGCTGAATTTCCGCACCGCCTTTTGCCGATAGCTCCATCGCTTTTGCCGTAGTTAACGCTGCATCCATTTTTAAATCCTTTGTCTCCAGTAATCGTTTCTGAATGCGTGTGCTGCGCAGGCCGAATACAAATTGGTTGCGCAATGCAGTTTCCAAATATGTGCCGAAGTTGCAAATTATTGCCAACTTCCGTAACGCTATCGAAAACTGTTCTACTGACTCGCTCTCATTTTGTTTGCGTAGGTGGAATCGGTAGTTTTTCATTACCTACAATGGTGCTGGATCATACACGTCAGAGATGATTATTTTTATTTCCGTGTAAGTCTTGTCCGCTGGGGCTAATTGGTCATACAACATGTCGTATGTTTCTTGCCCCATGTAAATAAGCAGCAATGATTTGCTTTTATCGGGGACTTCAAGCATCGTTACAGTCTCCTCAAAACGTGCCACCCAACGACACCATTGCATTGTTGCCGTTTCGAATTTCTCGAAAACGGCGTAGTTGGTCATCTTTTTCCTTTAATTGAAATTTGTAGTGTACTTTGTTTTACAATGTATATACGTGATTATTTCACGTTTTTATGGTTTAAAACAAAACGATGACCGCGAAATTTGTGGATTTTTTCCTCTCGTCGCCACTTGTTGTGTTTATTGTAGAAACAAGTTTTATATTTCTTCTCTTTATTTTCTCGATTACAGCAGAACTTATTCAGGGCTGTCATGGAATCCAAGTCGGTTTTGCATTTTGTCGGAATTACAAACCAATTTTGGTTTCATTTGGTGTCATGAAACCGGATTGGTTTTGCTCTTTTCGAACATAAACAAAACCGATGTTCGAATCAGCTGTCTTGCACATTTGTGTGTATGGCGATAATTTGAATGTATATTTTTTTGACACAATTTTATAAAATTGAATTGTTTTCATTAATTAAAAAAAAAATAAGTGAGCGCAAAATGACATCCGCAGTTGTCGCATTTCTCTTATTGGAAGAAGAAAGTTCCGAGAAAGTTAAAAGAAAAATTTTGAGAGATTGCAGCAATCCACTTGAGCTGCCTGAGACAGCGTAAGTAGATTGTTTTTTAATGTGCGTTTATAAATATTTATAGCGTATTTGCAGTTTCATAGCATATTATCGCCTAAACAAAGAGGCTTTCCGAATGGTGCTTGACACCATTGAAGGGCACTTGACACGTTCGAAAGTTCCACCAGTGCTGCAGTTAGCACCTTCGTTGCGATTTTTAGCTGAAGGATCCTATCAAAGATCAGTCGGGAACGACTCTAGCATAAGTGTAGCTAGAAGCACGGTGTCAACGATTTTAGATGATGTGCTTAAGGTTATGGAGCGGTTCATTTGCCCTCAGTGGGTGAAACTAGAAATGGACGGCACCGAAAAACGCAGATCAAGAGACTATTTTTACTTAAAGTACAAAATTCCCTCAATAATTGGTTGCATCGACGGGACACACATAAAAATCATCAAGCCGAGTATTGACGAACATTTATTTTATAATCGAAATTGATATTTCAGTATGAACGCCATGCTTGCAAGTAATAATGAATCTTCATTTTACTCGTACATTGCCTTGTAAAACTGATTTATATATATGTATGTACATTTTTATTTAGATTTGTGATGGTCACATGAAAATTCGAGCGGTCGATGCACGCTATCCCGGCTCTAGCCATGACTCATTCGTATGGAACGTTAGTAGCGGCAGACAATATTTCCTCAAGAAGTATGAGTCAGTTGACCGGACATCAAAGTTGTTAGGAGATTGTGGATATGGCATAGAACCTTTTTTATTAACACCATACAGAGATCCACGCTACAACTCCAAAGAATATAAGTTCAATTTGGCCCATTCATCGCTCGAAATATTGTGGAGCGAACAATAGGAGTGCTGAAAAGCCGATTTCGCTGCTTATTGATCACCTTGCACTATCGGCCAGAAAAAGTGGTGAAAATTATAAATGTTTGCTGTGCGCTGCACAATATCTGCAGAAACTACAACGTGGAATATAACGACGACAGTATTACTTTACCATCAAATGATACTGATGAAAATGTTGAATCTCCACCGAACGCAACACTGCAAAGTGAAGGTAAAAGGATGAGGGATGAAATAGCCAACAGTTTATAGCAAACCAACTGAATAAAAATTCAAATATTTATTTATTAAAAAATAAAAAACACATATTTATTTATTTAAAAAACACGCATATATATTCATTAAAACAAAACAAAAATTCATTTAATAAGTAAATACATTTTTCTAGAACTTATATAACTATTTATAACAATAAAATAAGGCACATTTTTAGGTACTATAACGACCACAACCAACACTTTTTTGACATTTTTTAAAAGGGAAATTACTTTTCTTTCTGTTTTTCGTAATCAAACTTTAGGAGTTCGAGCTCGAGTTGCTTTTCTTTTATTTCGTTTTTTTCCTGTATCGCTCGCAAAACACCTGTATTAATACGGACAAATTCATCCTTGAGCTCAATTACTGCATTCGCGACAGATTCGTTGCTTTTTTTTATGGCTCTATACACTCGTCTGAGGCTACTGTCGTTTTCTTTTTCAATCTTAATTAGCTCGTTCAATTTTTCATTTATTTCGAGCTTTCTCTCGTTGTCTTCATCGAGAAATTGTTTCAAACGCTTCCCAGTACTATCTGTCCTTTGTCTTTTAGGAGTGCTGCTGACTGGAGACATTGGCCGCTTCGATGATGTTGATGGCATTTCATCCTCACTTGCACAAACTAAATCTTCGCTGAGGCCAACTGCATTGCCAGCCACACCAACCACAGACTGTGCAATGCCACATATGCGCACTATTGTCTCTTCCGTTTGCGTTAGTTGGTGCTTAGAAAAGGGTCCTCCACCAGTTGCTCGAGACTCGCTTTTGTTTTGTGCGAGCTTTCTTTTTATGTCACTTTTCTACTCCGTCCACGTCTATACATATGTATATAAAAAACAGTGTAAGTTTAAGGCACGATTTAATTTATAGCACCAATTATGCTTTACCTTTTTCCATCCATTGGTATCCTTTTGTGGTGGACCTGCACTGTTCAGCGACTCAACTAAACTGTTGCCAAAGGGCATCAACAGTTGGTTTATCCCGCTTTGTAAAGCCTCTCGCAATATCTGGATATTTCTCCATAAATTCCACGATAATGCTGTTTTGAGTTGCATTTTTATGCTTTCCCCTAGTTATGAATAAAAATATGAATACATTAATAATTATTTTTATAAAATAAACCTTCTTTTACTCACATTTTTATAAAATGTCTAACTGGAAGTAAGAAAAACTAATAAACAAATGAAATCCAAGAGCTGTTAGCTGCTTGGTTTGTTTCCGATAGCAAAATCGATATTATTGATTTCTGTGACACCTAAAATCGACACTAATTCCGATTTGAACATAAAACCGATAACATTGGATTTCATGACACCAAAATAATTTTTTTGTCGTTTTCAAATCCAATTCCGACAACAATTGGATTCCATGACAGCCCTGATTATTACACGTGTGTGTAGCTACATGGTTGCGTTCACTTCAATAGTATTTACACATGAGTGCGTTTACCAAAGTAGTAATCTGTATAGGAGCATGCTCACGTACAAAGTATATAACAGTGTGTATTCACAACAACGTATATAACAGTGGCATTAGGACAAATTTTAACCAACTTGAAGCTTTATAATTTTCTACAACATTCGATTTTATCTGTGTGACCGAGTCTCATCAATAAGCAACAGTGAAATGAAACTCGCATGACTTTCCAAAATAGTGAGATGTGATAGTATATCGATGGCTTAATATAGAAAAGGCGTATCTACACTTTTCGTTACTTTTCAGGAGAAGGAAAAAACTGAATAAAACCTTAAAAACTTAAGATGCAAAAAACATTTCTATTGCAATTTTTATTCAAAACAGACAACAAATTCAATTCTGGTATAATTTTGTTATTATTTTTAATTTCTTTGAAGTTATTTGAGATAGGGCTTTTTGTTATTATTTTTCTTGAAAATAAATTTAAGTTAGGGCTTTTTGTTGTAAGTTAAAATTAGGACAAACTAATATAATAATTCATGTTTGAAGTAAAATAAATAAATAATTAAAACTAAAATACATATTTCAAGGCAGATGTTATTATACTGAAAACAAATTAGGTTTTATAAGGTAAATTATCATAAAAATGGTGGCAATCTGCTGGAAGAAATTTTTTTAGATCTTGCAAATGGTCCCACTTTTTTT